AAATCAGAGGCTTCTGATTTGATTCGGAGAGATTAATGGGTCTCCTGATCCGATTTGGAGATTTAGCTGCTGAATCGGGCGGAATCTCTACTGAATTAAATCAGCTACCAAAGCTTTGCACAGCCCTAGCGCTCATGTACCCACCACCAGCAACAAGCCAGGTTGGGGCTTCGTAGACCCCAGTGCAACTGTTTGCAGCCTCCCAACTGCCTGCTGCAGCCAGCCTGGGCTCTTGGTAGGCCTCTGCCTCTTGCCATGGAGACTAGGCTGCTCGCAGCAGGTGATGGGTAGGCTACAAGCAGCTGCACCAGGGTCTGCAGAGCCCCAGCCCAGCTCATTTCTGGTGGCAGATGCATGCATGCCTCAGGGAGGACAATGGGGAAGGGGCTGGGGCCATACTGCCACAAGAAGAATTGGGCCTCTCACAGCTACCCCAGCATCCACCCCAAGGTACACATGCCAAGCAGAATGGTAGTTGCTTCTGAGCTTTGGAACTTCCTCCCCATAGAGTTGTACCAGATTTCAACCCTGGACATTTTCTGGAAGTACCATAAGACCTACCTATTTGGGCAGATATTTATCAAGCAATGCTAGGCTTTGTATGGGAGAATCTGTTTCATATTTTGTGTTAATATTTCACTTGCTTTTATATGCTATTCTGTCTTCCTGTAAGCTGTTGGGAAGGTTGACATATAAATCTAATAAGTAAATCCTCAGTTACTGTAAATGTGCAGAACTGACGTTAGTGAACAGAGGAAGGTAGTTTGCTGTGTTAGTCTAAAGCCAGAGAGTAGGGCTGTGTGAAACAGCTGTGTTTTGATTCAGTTTTGGATTCAGCCGTTTTGGAGGACAGCGATTCGTTTCAGTGTTTCAGATCACTGTTCTGTTTCGTTTCAGCTGAATCTGTTTTGGAGATTCAGCTCTGCCGAATCTCCTCCAAAAGTGTTTCGAATGTGCTGCAAGCTTCTCACAGCCCTACTGCCCAGTTGGGTGGGGCTTGAGGCCCCAGCAGGGAGCATGATGGGGCCGTGGGTGGCTCATCCAGGGAATCCTGGAAGCAATACAGAGTGGCGAGTAAGCCTGCTGGTCCCTGCTCCACGACTGCTCCACAGGGAGCTGAGATCCATGCCAGGGGTCTCCTTACCACTACTGCCTGCCCCGTGCAGCCCCACATCGCTGGGGCAGCTGTTTCCCTGCAAGCCTCCAAAACTCCAAAATTTTCCGAAACATTTTCAATACCTCATTTCATTTCAGAGATGTTTCGGAGCCTTCTGTTTCAATTTGGGTTTGGTGTTTCAGGCACCAAAATGGCCCAAAAAAACCTCTGAAATGAAACGGCTGCCGAAATTTTGCACAGCCCTACCAAACAGAAGGCAGGGTAGAAACACACTATATAGATGGCAAAAAAATGAACACGAAATTGCGGAAGAAGAAATCATCCATAGACTGGATTGTATTAAGCATGGTCTAAACAGGGATTACCTATTCTTTATCATGTTACCTGAATTAGCTTTTGTGATCCCTTTGTCTCTTTGAATTTATTACTTACTTGTCTCTCCCAATAGTGCCATTCCCCTGCCCCCCTCTGCCCCCACACTTTTCCTTCCCTCCTTCCCTTCCCTGTGTTTTGTATTCAAATCACTTTCCCTGTTTGATAGTCTTTACTATGCATGTCCTTTCACAGCATCTGATAAAGTGAGCTTGGGCTCAGAAAAACTTAGACATCTCTCTGATCTATGCATCTATAAGGTGCATCTCTACCCTTTTTCCTGATGTCAATAAAGCCTTGTCAGTTGAAACCAGCTAAGGAACTGTTCATTATTTCTAGGGAGTTCAGTTGTCCCTATTGACTTCAGTGTCAAAAAAAAATCTACATTTACTCTTGTTCTTTTGTTTCAGCAATCTGGATTTTGTGCATCATAAATGTTTCATGGTTTTATCCTTGCTCTTTTATAGAAAAAAAAAAAGAAGACTAATGGATCTCCACCATTTTGATGGAGATTTACTTCCCTATACCATATTTGTTACTTTTGAAATCTAAAGGCCTGTGGATTCCAGAAGGTGCTTGAACATAAACAGCTTTGGCATAAGTTGCTAAATAAGCTTTTAGGTGCAACCACAGCTACAAAAAGCAAGCCTCTCTCATTTTACATGAACATTGTCTCAGGAGAAATGTCTTCTCCTATGAAGACACTCAATTTATTTGTTAGTCAACATGTTTCAATACACCTTGCTTATATATCTTTTTCTCTCGCAAACCTCTTTAAGAGTTTTCACAGCCCCTTGATAGGCACTTAGATGAATACTTTTCAATGGCTAAAATCAATTTTGTGCTTGAGTTTCAAAAAATTGCTTAGCAGTTTATCTTTTGCTTCTCCCATTAACTCAAGCACTGAACTGAAATATTTGACTGTTAGGTCAAGCATGTGGATGCCTTCCAATAAAAAAGCAACAAATTAAAAACATTCTGTTTTGACTTTAAATTTTGTGAATTGTGCAATATTTTAATCCTGTGACATTGCTCCTATTAGTATTAGAGTATGGCGTGTGTTATCTACCTGAATGTAAAACATTATGTACGCAATGTGTTACTACATATGAAGTCCAAGTTTCCTCAGACTTCTTTATCTTCCATCTCTTAATCTCTTGTTTTAATTGCACATTTATTGGATTTATTTTTATAGTGCTTGTGCTTTCCAGGATTGAAGATTGTCCTGCTGTATAAATACAATATAGTATGTTAATCTATGTTAAAGGTTTTATTTGTCTCCTTTAGGGGGGAAAAGAGTTTTTACAAATACCATTTTTAAGGCAAATTCTGAATCACAGAGTGGTTAAACTACAGCAGAAAAAGTTCTGAAAATAGTATTTCTTTTGGAAGACAGGCTTAATAACCAAACATTCAGAAGACTTTACCTTCTTTAGGGATCCAAACTCTGTTCGTCTCAGTTGGAAATTCTGCAGTTTCTGAAGAGACTCCCTCTCTCCCTCCACCCCAGTCCCCACAGAATACCCAGAGTGCTGTGTTAGAGTTGGTAAGGCATCTTGATATGGCATGAAGAAGTGCTGGCCTCTCTCCCCTGCTCTGCCCCTGCCCTCACGACGGTGCACCACCAGTACCCGAGCGCCTGTCCGGAACACTGTTGGAGCGCTCTGATTGCTTGTTTCAGACAACCAATCAGAGTACGAATAAAGCTTTCCGGTCAGACAGACAGACAGACAGACTCAGGCTTTTATAATATTAGAACGATTAGGAAAAAATAACTATCATAGTTATTTAATAGTTCTTTCTGTTCAAAGATGAAAGAAAGGAAACAATTTCTTTGTAGTCTCTGTTTGATATATCAGGAGACTGATGTTTCCCTATGAAAGAGGAGTTCTTTGTAATATAAATTTAAGTTCTGTAACTATCAGCATTTGTTACGTGAACTGCCAACATGGGCCCTACTCGTTACTACCACAGTGAAAAATCAGTGGCATAATTACAATTGTTTTTTGAAGACTTCTTTCATGTGGTTTTTGCAGGTTCTTTATGAGGTGAAGTGCCATTTGAGTTTGTTTGGTTTAATGGGGAGACACTGACACATAGTCAATGATCTCCCAGCAACATCCTGTAAGCCACATAAATGTTGGATTGATGAGATATATCTTTCCAATTGTGAAAATGTTTCTCTCCTTAAGTTATTCTTAATAGGCAAAAATCTGTTAAAACAAAGTGATTTAACCTTTTGGACTATAAATCAAATGATGTATACGATTTAATGTCAATATGTACCCTAAAGAGTGCCTGGAGAAAATGTGAAATGGTTATCTTTATACATTTTCTCCTTTATATTCTTGAGGGCATTGTGACTATAAAGTGATATCAGATCTGTTTACATTTGATTTAAATTGGCGATGATAGTTGACTTTGTGTCATCATCCTTTCCTTGTTATGTTTTTGTAATTGCTACTTGGAGTTCTTAATGTAGATCAGTATTGTTTTCTACATGGCTTACTCTCACAATATAGAAAACACATCTTTTAATGTTCTTGTTTGAGGTACTATAGTTTGTCCTGCTGCTGCGTATGAAGGGATTTAACTTCTCCACCCCCTTCCATCCTACACAACACACCTCCCAGCCTAGAGATTGTATTAATATCCATGGGGAACTTTATATTTGCAATGATTATCTGTCTTTTAGCAGCCTGTCTTATGCTATAAAAACATTGTATGATGTGATGCAAAAATACTGGTCAACCTAATACTGACAGTGTCAGCAGAAACTTGCTGGGTAAAAACCTGCCAGGGTAAGAGGTACAGTTCTCCGAATAGCGACCAACTCCTAGCAGCCTACAATACCTGCATACTCAGAGAAGAGTATTATTCGTAAGGAATCTCCATGGAAGGAACAGATCTACTCAGCAAGAAGATCAGAGTTGCAGTACAATACGGATTTATCCTTTTAAGATTTGCTTCTGTTTTCTAATATTTAGTGTGCTTTTCATGTCTTGTTATGAGCATGCAAATAAATATTTTTGCACTACTTATTAGAATGAAGAACAGAGCTTCTCTTTGGTCTGTCAGTGATTTTTGTGGGTTTTTTTTTTTTTTTTTGCCCCTTAGTCTACAAGCATAGACAAATACTGATAAGATTTTGTGGTTTAATTAAAGGTAATTTTCTTTTTATATTGACATTGTGTAACAAATTATGAAGTAATCATTAGAGAATCTAAAGATAATAAGTGATTCGCTTTCAGTTTACACTGAACAGATTCTCAGCAAAGCTATTAAAATTTTAATTTA